TATTCACCTGTCCCACTTTTATTTTTATGCATTTTAAAGTAACTTAGAGCAGTACATTTTAACTTAACACTATTAGAACGTTGCATTTATTTCTCCTTTGTTTACTTCCAAAGATATGCCCTTGGAAGTTAATAAAGCCATGATATGAAACTTGTCTGATACTTGTCTAATTACAGAGGTTAATTCTACAAAGCTCTGACAAATGTGATTTCAAATTCCAGATTTCAAATTTTATGTATAATACTACGGTTTAAATACTTTCGGGATCCTGCCGATTTTTATTTTTTCTGTAATCTGTCTGAATGTTTGCTTCCTTGTTTTTTCAACTACCCTTATTTATAGAGGTTTCTCTAAATGACTTTTTCTTTTTCAAAGTTTGTGCCTTTGTGTCTACACTGGCAAAACTTCCTCTCCTCATAGGACTTAAAAATCTACTTCAAATCATATTAGTATTTAAATTATATGTGTTAAAATAACATGACCTCTCTATTAAATATCTGGAGAGCAGGTTTGATTTTTGTGTTACAGTTACCATGCACTGAAGGTTCACGTTGTCGCCAAGCTGTAGTTAACACCCCCACTTACCTCCCTGTGGGAGGGAAGATCGGAAGGCCAAGAACCATGCACACGGCAGGCTATCCCAGAAACTTAAGGCCCATGGCAAACACTTGGTAGGCTTTCCAAAGCCCTTCTGCTGCGCTTACCTCAGAGAATATGTTTGTGTGCATATTAAATCTTTCTGTGTTTCACAGTCTGTGAAAGAGAGAAAAAATATTGGCGTCTCTATTTCCAAGGGACTTTTAAAGCTAAAGCTTGACAAACAGACGTGTACAGCTCTTTTGTCGTTTAGTGAATAACTCTTACTCAGTAATGCTATCATCATTGATGCATAAAAAACAATTAAATACCATCTACTAATCTGCTCTGTGACAACACAAGAGAGAAACATGCATGAGAAAAGAATTGACAGCTTATCCCTTTAACCCTTGTTTCTTTTATATGACCCACTCCTAGCATTTGCTTCTTTCATTGCCTAACTGGAAGACATGGGTCCAAGGGAGGGGCGAAGGGGAGGGGCCAGGGGGCATAGAGTGTGTGGCTTTTGCTAGTAGACTCATTTGCATGTTCAGCCATCAAAATGCAGAACATGGTTCGGAGGAGAGTCCTCAGTTATTGGTCAGATCAGTCGTTTAGGCAAATCGCTTTCATATGTAGCACTGTATTTTGTTTTTGTTTTTTTCTTTAGTGAGCAAGAATTCCCACTGTAAGCCTGGGCATCAAAATATTTATCAAGATTTTGCTAACGAAATGTATCAGTAGCATGTTTTAAGAAGATAGAGCCTTAGAAATACATCTCCACAGACATTTAATAATTGCAGGCTTAAATTTAGAATAACAGTCTTTTCATGTCATGACCCTAGCTTTTGTATTGGAATCATTTCAGAAAGATCTGAGCTAAGCTTACCCTCGTGCCTTCATCTTCTCGGTGCCTAATGGAAGCACAGTGTTACACGTGATGCTCTTATCAGTCTGTCCCATAAACCCGTAAACCCTGATGATGTTACACACCCCTAGGTGGCATACACCAGTGTAGATAATGCCGTGGGACAGCTGAGCACGGATATTTTCGTCCCTCCATAAACGATGCCTGCTTTAGTGAATTAAAAATGTGTCCCCAGGAGTGTGCCGTTTCACTCCATGTTGTGAGTCCCCCACAGAAGCATTTTAATTGTTCTTACTGAGTACAAACTCATTCTGCTCGCCACACGGTAGGCCAATAAATCAGGAGATGAGGTGTTGGAGCAAAGAATATAGTGACTTTATTCAGAAAGCTGGCAGACCCAGAAGATGGCAGACTAATGTTCTGGAGAACCATCTTCCCCAAGTCAGAATTCAGGCTCCTTTTATACTAGAAAAGGGAGTGGTTATACTTGGTTGTTGCAAACTTCTTCTTGGTGTCTGTGGAGATGTATTTCTAAGTGTAGGAATTCTTTGTTCTTGGAATCGTTTGTTCTTGCAGCTGTCCACGTGGGTCAGATCATAGTGTCCCTGTAAACCTCCAACGAAACGAACGTTATTTTCTATTCTGCAACTTTATATGAATGGAAAAATTTTAATATCCTTAAAGGTCAGAGCCTTGAGAATAGGCTGTCCTGTATTTCAGGCTGTAGGCAACATCCTTTTACAGAAGGTGTAGAACCAGCAAGACTAAGCCTGGGAAACGGAGCGCAGGGTTAAAGTCAAAGGAACAGATCTAATATGGAATCAGATTTGTTCTTTTCTATTACAGTCCCACAACTGTGCTTCCAGTCCCACATTTCAATTATTTTGCCATTGCAATTTCACTTTAATTGCATTCTAACAGCATCTTTTTAAGACAAGCATGTAAATTGTTTTGCCATTTTCATTTCATTGAGTAATGGCTTTGTAATATAATTACCACACTAAGTCATTGCAGTGGGATCAAAATGCGAGACAAAGTTGCATGACCCTTGTTTGGTGGCCTTTGGAGGGGATAGATTTGCAAAGTAATTTCTCATTTGCTACTAAGCATTGTGTCATTTCCCTCAAGGAAGACCAGAAACGAGAAACATTAACCAATTTATGTTTTAATTATTTGGGAGATAGAGCCTCTCTTTGTGTTTGCTTGAAGATTGACTTCCAGGCAGCTAAGGGCACACCATGTGTGTGTCCGTGCATTTGGTCTGTGTGCATATAGAACAGCTTGGTTTGGGCTGGGAAGAGGTTAGGGTAAATATTTAATTCATTATCTGATGAGCTGTTCTTTAAAGGAATAAGTACCATCACTTTAAGATAATCCATTTTCAATCGACAAAGTCCATTAATTGAGCATTTATTATGTGCAAAGCACAGTGTTACCAAGGGGATAATAGGACCAAAAAAAAAAGGACAAGGTCTGTGTATCCAAGGAAGTTGTAGTCTAGTATGGAGAAATGACAGATGTCTGCATGCTTCCGGGACAAGGAAGCAAGTATCAATAGCCAGAAGAGAAGTGTAGATAAAGAGACTTCAGGCTCGTTGACCACATAAGGGATAAGGACTCACTAAGGCAGTAGAAGGAAGGTGCTTGTTCCTGGAGTAGAGTCAGCAGGGATTTTGTTGTTGATTAGTTTGGAAGCAGCGGGAAGAGGGCAGTTGATGAAAGGAAGGCAGTTCATCTAGTCAGGTAACGCAGAGTACAGGTTTTAGGACAGGGGAGAAAGAGGAAGGGTGT